GCATCAGCTAATCCTGTTGCTGTTGCTGAACAATACTGAAGCAGTGCAAATTTCAAAATGCTGTGTAACACGGAGGGTTATTCATTCTACGGACCAAGCAAGAGTAGGCAGGGTGGGCTGGGTGGAGCGGCACACCAGAAAGCGGTACAGTCAATGAAAAATGCAGTTTTGCACACTGAAATCGAATCAAAAGAATTTTTTTTTGCAAATCAGATTAATTTTTTGCAAACTGAAATCAAATCCTGGCATAGCGTTACCCAAAAGAAATACAGGAAATATTCTGAAAAATTCAAAGGGTTTATTTCTGTATGTAAAAAAAATATATTTTATTTTTTAAACTATAGTTTATATAGCCTGCTTTTAAATTGACAAAAAAATCCTAAAAAGAAAGAACGCGAGAAAACGCACGTGAAAAAGTGAGAAAGATCAGTAAATGTAATAAGCTGATTAGTCTGAAAAAATGTCTTTCAGTCTTGTTACTTTTTGCTCAGCAAACATGTTTTTTCAACCTTGGATGAACCCGAAAAAGCATCTTGAATTTCTGCTGTGGTCAGTGACCTTCCTAGCCCTCTCCTCTCACACCAACCCATTATCAGAGCAACTCTTCACCTATCTACACCTGACAATAGTTCTATCAACAGCCTTCACCGTGCTCATCCGAGCAGTGTCTAATGTAATGTTTTAAGAGTCCCTGTGCCGTTAACCACAAGGAAACCAAGCCCTGAGTTTCAGTCAATTGGCATTTGTCACTTTGCGCCAACCTTGGATGCGCCACAAGGGCAGCGCGCCATGTGAAAACCACCACAACGTATATTGGTTTCTCTAAGAGCCGCTTATGTGAAATCAAGGTCACAAAAATAACAGCAATTTACTTACCACTCATCACAAAGAACATTTCTGCACTGCTGCAACTACTTAATTGCATATATTTTCATCATGCAAATAATACTCAAAGCCTGATCTGTATCTAGAGTTCAACATCTTTTTGTAATTTAAGAGCGGGTTTTTGTATAACTTAAGTGTTAGCTTTTCTTTTTTTTTTTTTAGTGCAGTGGTTTTATGGAGACGCTCTGTCAGAAAGAAAAGATGATTTGCAATGTATGCTAGCAAAAGAAAAAAAAGAACCAGGCTGTTTCTGAATTATGCTAAACATTTTTGCAAATCTTATGCAAGTACCAATACACATCCATTGGCTTTCTATATTCTTGACACAGGCCGGCACAATTTAAACTACGTTCCACAGCTCTTCTTTACAAGAAAGATGATGTAGGTTTCTCTGGCGTTAGTTCAGCCTGAAACTCAACTGAGAGCTGCCGGGAACTCCTGCAACTTCTGCTGCAGGGAAACGAACGGTTAATTTGCAACCCTTCTTATCAAATGAGCAGGAGATAAGGTCAAAGGATCCAGACAATGAGAGAACCGCATCAATTACGCAGGTACGCAAAGGTAAGGTTACGGGGCAGAATGGATGCTGACTTTTATCAGTTAATGGTAACAAATTTATCACCAGATTCCAGCCTACGCTGTTAGAAGAGCCTCATTCAGGGTTTTGCAGCTCTCAGGGGCAAAGCGTAATGAGAGTCAGAGAACCATCCCTTTCCCTTGCAGGAGGCACCGGCCCCGTGCTACTGCTCTGCGTAGGAAAGCAATGGATCGGTTCAAACGAAGCTCGCCCCACCACCCCAGACCTTCCAGATTCAGGCAGAGAGTCTTGGGATCGGGGGAGACATCAGGCCAGCCTGCCCACCTTCCACCAAGCAAAGCCACGAGGGGAAGAAGCTAATCCATCTCTAGAACCTGTTGCATGAGCAAGACCAAGTCTAATTTAACAGTCTGGCGAGCAGGCACAATGTACTTTTTGGGTTCAAGGCCCAAGCAACAAAGTCCTAAATTTTTTGACAAACTGAAGATGGAAGAAACCTTAGGATAAAAGCTCTTTGCTTTGTGTGGGTGGCTTTACTCAAAAATGCAAGTGGAATAAGGAAGTATTTTTTCCTCCCCAAACCTACATTAGAAAGATGTTTCTGACGGTGAAGAAAAGCCCTTCTTTAACCTTCCTCGCGTGTGTCTCATTAACGGGGCACATCCTGGCTTAGAAGGAGGGACGTAGCATGCAGAATCTCCAAACGTAGGTGAAAGAAGGTTGAAGTGCTCATGCCTGCAGCGCTTTACACCCCTTCCCCACAACACACGCAATGTACTCACTGATAAAATCGCTAACCACCAGACCAAGGTTGTAGGGCACTCGGGAATCCTCTACAGCAGAAACTCCATCCCTTATCGTGCTTCCTATCTCCAGTGGGAATTTCACTATTAACCTTTGGAGGGGGTTTGGGCAGGCAAAGCTCTTCAGTGAGGCTGCACCGGTTCTGCTGCTGCTTTGTTTCCTCTTGTGCAAAAAATGTGTTTTTCTTGTGACTACGATCCTGGGATTAACGTACCCGTTCCGTAACCATAGCCCTGATGGGGCACTAGGCCATTTAAGACACCAACCTCTGCGTTCTCTTATCAAAGCAAATCTCTTGGTTTTGGATTGTATAAAGGGCAACATTTAAGTAATAACGAGAGGAGGAGAGCGGGGTCTGGTCTAAGGGGAAAGCACAGCCTGGCACCTGATCGCTTTATGTTAGCAAACTGTGGTCTCTGAGAGCTTTACAACAGTCCATAAATTAACCTTACAGCACCCAGTAATGAAGCCGTGCTCGTGACCGGGGAAACAGCCTCCAAGAGCCAATTTATTTTCTTGGTTACACCTCTGCAGCTCTGCAGACTTCCACTCCGTGTGCAGATAAAGGCAGGCTGGAGCTGACAAAGATGCCTTGATTTTCCAAGGTTATGGGACAGACAATAGATGAGCCAGCACTGAAAATGAGGATCCTGGTGCTCTTATCACTAGAATAAATACTAATTATGACAATTAAGGACTGGAATAAAGATGTATTATGGTTATATTTTTAGGTCATTAAAAGTCATGATCATACGTTGTTAGGTGGCAGTTAAATCGCTCACTAAAAGGCAAGGTTCATATTATTTCAGAGATGCAAAATGACTAATAGTTTTCCAAGTGAAAAATCCACAGATGAGGAGAAAGCAGGTCAGCCAATCTTCACATTATATTCCATAATTAAAAATCATATTAATTCATAATATATTAATTACTGACGATAGATGTTCTTCTCCTCTTGAACTTATTTACCCTGGGAACTGTCAGATAGCAGGACCTGGACTTTTTCACTCGAGTAAATACCTGAAACAATTCCACATGCTTGTAATTTATATTACAAATCCTATGTTTCAGCTGAAACGTCTTCACTTTTTACTGCATTGCCGTAAGAGGATGAGATCAAAGATGGGCAGAAATGAGTGAATTTCCTCTTTCCTGAGCTTGCTCTGATAATCTCTGCCAGCAAACAAACTGTGAAGTGCAATTTTGATGTCCTTTCTCAATTTCAGCCTTCATGAACTCTCCCTCTGATCCCGAGAATTAACTTCCCTTCTATTTTCTCCCACAACCATATAAAAATGCACATATTGCAATATTAAATTCACAGGGGCAATTAATGAGGAGGTTCTTGCTGACGCTTGGCTCAGAAGGAGCAAAATCGGGTTTGTTAGCTTTCTACAAAATCTCAGGAGGTTATTATTCCCTTCTGATCCTCAGCTAGAATTCTAATTAATTAAGAGTAAGTTCAGGAAAAAAGAAAAAAACCCAAATTTTAATTGCATTCGCATTTTGCAGGTACACTAAAATCAAGCAAATTCAAGCAGGCAAACGTGGACCCCACTTTGAAGATGAATGATATTAAAGAGGATTTCAAATTGAGAGTTTTTCATCTGTGAAAGTTACGATGTGATAGACACATCACAAAGAATTAGTCCAAACACGTAACCAAGCTCCACGGCACGCAATGTGGCAGGCTAACTGCTGAGGACAGAAATTATACTCCAGTTGTGCAAGGCACAACAGCACGTGTGCGATACGAGGCAGCCAAGCAGCCCCACAAACCAACGAGACTACTCACCTACACGCAAGCATCTTGCTGAGTAGAACCATCTAACCGAGTTTGTTCGCAGACCAACCTTTCACCAGCAATCCCATCGTGCTGGGACCAGTGCTGTCTCCACAGCTAGCCTGTATGGGCTTGGATAACAGCAAAACGAAGCCTAAAATCTGCTCGTTGCAATTGCACAGCATGTTTAGAGGATGTTTTCACCCCTCAGCACTGCAGGGATGTCCTGGTTTCAGCTGGGATTGAGTTAATTTTCCTCCCAGTAGCTGGTACAGTGCTGTGGTTTGGATTTAGGATGGGAATAATGCTGATCACACACTGATGGTTTAGTTGTGGCTGAGCAGTGCTCACACCAGTCGAGGCCTTTGCAGCTTCCCCTGCTCTGCTCGTGCACGAGACGCTGGGAGGGGGCAGGGCCAGGCTGGCTGGCCCAGACTGGCCCAAGGGCTAGTCCATACCACATGGCGGCGTGCCCAGTACAGAAACTGGGGGAGTTGGCCGGGGGGCAGCGATCGCTGCTTGGGGACGGGCTGGGCATCAATTGGCGGGTGGTGAGCAATTGCACAGTGTATCACTTGCTTTGTGTATTATTATTGTATTATTATTATATTATTATTATTACTACTATTACTACTATTCTATTTCATTTTACTTCAATTATTAAACTGTTCTTATCTCAACCCACGAGTTTTCTCACTTTCACCCTTCCAGTTCTCTCCCCCATCCCACCAGCGAGCGGCTGGGTGATGCTTAGTTGCTGGCTGGGGTTAAATCACAACAAGGTAGAATTTACAAGGCAGAGGAGCAGTTCACAGAGGTTAGGTTCCCTATTTCACTGTTATCCTTTCACACTTATTATCATTCCACTTTTTCTAATACAGCCTGTTGACTTTGTCATCTATCCCACGTCCCCTCTGCTTGTAAGTGGATAAAGTAGCCAGGACTGAACAATTTTTCTGCTAACAGAAGTGGTGAAGAAATCCCACTTACTTCCACTCTTCAGCAGGTGCTGCTCCTCTTCCTTCAGCCTGTTCTGCATAAGACGCAGCATGTTTGCCGCTTCCTGCAAGAGGTGAAAACAACTGCATTAGAAAAGCTGCCCCATTACCCAGTCGGGGAACTAATGGGATTGGTCCTACCACAACAGTTAAGGGCACTCACAGGTAGAACGAGAAGAGAAAATTTCAGCATTGGAAATATTTTAGGAAAAAAAGGTCGCAGTTGAAACATGGGAGCTCCTACTTACTTTGCCCATGAGGGCCAGGATATAAAGCATGTACCCAGGTAAAACAGCGCACTGCAAATCAACCCTGTGTTCCCAGTGGCTGAAACCTCACTTATCACATTGAAAATGAGTTCACTTGTCTTCGTCCCACAGGAAATTACTGCCGTTACAGAACGAAAGGGCCTTTCTTTGGAAAGCAGTCTGTGGTAGTTGTTTTCAACCAATACTCCATTAAACACCAGAAGTGGTTTGTGAAACAGCTGCAGCTTCATAATACACAAACCAAACCAGAATAAATTCACACATTTCAACATGTGCAAACAAAATGGCAGCAAAAAGCCCTATCAATAAGCTGGAGAAGTATAGCCAAATACCATGCTATTCGGGTGCAAAGGAGAACCATGACAGTAAGACTGCACAAGGTGGTTCATTGATTTTCTTTTTTGAATATAGCAAGTTGTTAGATAAAGATATTCTGAGAAACACCATTGCAATGACAGTATGATAAAGTTGTGACAAATGCAGTTATGGAAAAAGGTAGGTAGAACAGTGGTTGCTGCGCTGAGGACGAGAAGCAGATCACGAGTCTCAACCCATTCCAACGAAGGCCAACGATAACAGAAAATCTTACCAAAAAGGCCCACAAGGACTTACAAAACCTCAGTCTTGCACCGTCAACCAAGTAAGAAACGTGATGGCCCAGAAGGGAAGAAGCGGGCTGACGGTAGCGGGGCAGTGGTGGTTAAGACAAGACATTCTCATTCCAGCGTTATGGATTAGCAAGAAAACACGGCTGGCTCTGTGGACAGTAACTGATGAGTGTAATTTTCATCTCCTAGGACGCATGCGCTTGCAGAACATCACAGACCAGGTAGTCTAAAGGGACTATTTGCTTGCTGAAAACCAGAAAGCAATTGGAGGAGGTGTTCTGTTGCGTTCGTGAAGTCCTCCATCCAGTTAGGACTAAAATCTAGCAAAGATACCAAAAGATTGAATTTTAGGAACTAAGGTTCACTATTCCAATAGCAGCATCGGACAGAAAAATATATTTTTAATGACACCTAGCTTAAATTTGGGTAATGTTAAAGGCGAATAGCAAACTAAACATGATAAAGTAGGTAAGATACGAATCATACAATCAGATTCAGATAGAACCTACAATACTAAACTGGTGGCAAACAACTGATGGAAGGATTTAGCCACGAATTTTGCTCATTTTAGTCTCTTCAATTCCACTCAAGCAAGACAAGAAGACGGGAAAGCTAATTAACTGCGGATTGAGCTAAGATTTTTCTGAGTCTTTGATTTTTCTACGCAAAATATGCATATAATTAAAAACACCAGTTGCTTTGACATGGTCAAATCTGCACATTTACAGTGCATTTGCGGAAAGGAGATACAGACTCGGGTGTAATATCTATGGGACAGAGGGAAGAAAGCAAGCAGGGCATCGGAAAATGGTTGAATGGTGGGGAACCGTTTTACATTTTCATATGGACATGTGTATCCATCTGTATGGCAATAGTTTACTAGCTCAGAAAGGAAAATTTCCTCCCGCCAACCTCTAGGCAGCAGCAAACGACCAGGTCCCACTCAGCACAGAAGGAAGTGGCTGGAAATAGAGGCCTGGGGACTGGCTGGCATGATGTGTTGGCCAGTTGGCCGGTGTTGGCAGCCGGTCACCAGTGGTGTTCCCCAAGGGCTCGGTATTGGGGCCAGTTCTGTTTAATATCTTTATCAACGATCTGGACGAGGGGATCGAGTGCACCCTCAGTCAGTTTGCAGATGACACCAAGTTGGGTGGCAGTGTCGATCTGCTGGAGGGTAGGAAGACCCTACAGAGGGCCCTGGCCAGGCTGGGTCGATGGGCCCAGGCCACTGGGTGAGGTTCAACAAGGCTCAGGGCCGGGTCCTGCACTTGGGGCACAACAACCCCAGGCACCGCTGCAGGCGTGGGGAGGAGCGGCTGGGAGCTGCCCGGCGGGAAAGGGC